AAAAGTGAAGTTTCAAGATTTTTAATTATTTTATTCAGGTGAAAACTGTGCATTATTTGATATCACAAGTGCCTGCTAATAGGTAGGTGTGGATGAGATGAACGTGGCTGAATTTGAATTATTTATAAGAATGTATAATTTGCAACGTGAAAAGTTGTTCAGTGAACTTTCTTGAATTGTGAATATGAGAAGAAATGTTTGCTCTATTGTTTGGGTATCGAACAGATTAGAGCATTGTCTTCATAGCTTGTTATTAATCGTGGAAAATTATAAAATGAAATTGAATAAATTTGAATTTTGAATATTTTAAGATGCAGCCGCATGGGCCATGTATGGCTTGATCTGACAAAAAATCTAGTTGGATTTATGTTTGAGCAATTAGATTTGTATTTGGTTTTTAAAGTGATTTACATTTGGACTTAGAAGAACAGCCTAGAGCAGTGATTTCCAAACTTTTCGAGCTACGGCATACCTTAAGGCCAAAGTCGCACATTGCATGCGGCTCACGTTATTTCCAAAAAATTCTACGGTACACTAGTGTGCCGAGACACACAGTTTGGCCTAGAGTAACACCAACTCTGGAATCCTAGCTTCATTTCCCAAAATCCCGGCACTACGTGTGTACAGCCGTTCCTAAGAAATTTGAAAAACATAAAAGCAGAATGCAAGGCCCTGTCACTTACTATTCGATTAGAATTTCAGCTATGCAAGCTTTTGAAAACTTCAAAACTGCTACTCAACTAAAATGAATAAAAATTCTTTCCAAAAATTTGTAAACACTTACAGAACATTCAACATAAAGAAAACCTTAAAGAATAATCTAATGTAAGTTAGAAATTGCCCTAACCGTAAAATTCTTCCAGCATTCATCCAGCAAAATGCTTAAATTATCTCAAAATTAAGAAATTATTCTGTTAACAAAAACAAACACGATTATGCATGCTTTTTTCAATTTATCAAGTTAACTTGAGGACAAGCTACCATAACAATAGAACTTAAAAACGACATTTACAGTAACACACAGGATTTTCAGCTCATATACAAGAGCATTCAAATAGCATAATAATGAGGAAGACAGATAGCTAAAGATCAGATTCATATTTTTGTGCAAAATTCAATCGCAACGGCAAGATAGAAATTATTCCTCAATGGCCATTATTCAGTTATATGCTTTACAGAAGAAAATATGATAGGCAGTGGAAAAAATTTAATTTACTTGCTTACAAAAAATAAAGTCTTTTTTTAGAAACAATGGATTTTTTTCAAGAGTGGCCAGTGGGTTTGTTAAGAAATGATGTGTTGCATTTTGAAGGAGAGGAGAGGGCTTAGAAAAGAAGAAATTAATTAAACGGTATAGCTTGACACTTGTTGAGACCCGAAGAAAGGCTAAAACCGACATTGAGACTTAACACTGCTGAAAGAAGTGCAGCCATTTAGGGTATGCGAGATTCTCAAGTAATAGTTTAAGTTGATAATGTGCTAAGATTATTACTAATATTTGGTAGCTTAGTGGTAAGAGTATTTAAGAATGTGCCACAGAAAATCAGAAGAACCGTGAGTTCAAATCCCACTGGAAATGAGTTCAACTTATTCTTCGACTCAAAAAACTCCAAAGTGAATCTCGAATTTAGCTGTTAGGGCTCTTTAAGTCTAGAGTTTTGAAGTCTTGACTGCATTTATACACAAGTCCATCATCCATTTTTTTCTGCTTCTTTCATTCCTCTTCCGTCCCTCATATCTCATTAAAAAGCACAATTTTATTATTGACCCTTTTAATAAACTTTTTAATTCCATCTCCACGCTCCGTAATTTTATGCGACTAGAACAACAATGAAATTTATTATCCCCATTTTTGCTCCCATCATAAATTGACTCGTTTATGGCTACGTCTAATTGTTTGACTTTTATTTTATATTTATTGCGAGATTGTGTGTACTTTTTGGAATATTTCATGCTGCGTTTATTTAATAACTTTCTTATTTTAATCATGATAATTAGGCATTCAATGAGAAGATGCTGGCTGTTCAGCACTACATAATATTATTTTGTAGAAATCTTCCGATTATTATTATTATTTTTATTATGAAAAGTGTTTATTTTACAATTTGATTTAATCCATTGAGTGAGTAGAAAGTGAAAATATTGATGTTCTGAATTTACATCTGTGCTTTTTGATTGTTTGAATAATTTTGATTTGGGAAAACAACCATATGGGCTGAAAGATTATCTAAAATTGAACAATTATCGTCGTAAATAATAAATTTGGAACAAGATTGTCAATTATTCAATGAATTTTCATTATATTTTGGATCCCAAGCTTAAAAACTTGGTGGTATGGGCGGGATTTCTTATAAATTGGCAGTATACCACGAAGCTTGAGTTAACTCAATGAAAATTACTCCTAAAAATATTTGCCTAATTTTGGATAGTGGATGTGGGTTATAAAAACATAGGAATTAATTTATGAAGTTTTCGAAGATTATTAGAAAGTACAAACAAGTTACTATGCGCCTGGCATTTTTAGATGATGATGATGCAGAATAATGGAATCAATAAATTGAATTACATTCGACTGCTATTGACATCAAATTCCAATTTTTAAAAGTTAATGTTTTGAATTTTAGTAAGTTTTTGAGTCAATTATTTTCTTAGAGACTTAAAAATACCCCCTTATAAAGGGGGGGGGGGGGGGGGATTTGGGGGACCAATTCCACTTCGTCTTGAGAAATTTCATCATTTTGTAAGAGTTTTATGAAAAACTCGAAAAAATCCCCCCCCCCCCCCTTAAAGTTTTCCATACAAAAAATTTTTTTGTCCCCCCCTCCTTACGCCCCTGGTGGGCCTCCAAGGCAAGACTTATGACATATGTAATTTCATTTATTTTTGAAGACATGAGTACAATGTTAGGGAAGGGGCGTAGCCAGGGGTATTTTTTGGGTTCAGAACTTTGAAAAATTTCTTTAATTTCAAAAGGAAGTGGAGGAGGGGGGGGGGGGGGCAGCAAGATTAGATCAATAGAAATTCCAGGAAATCCATTGTTCTTTTTTGAAAAATGACGGAAAAATTCAAAAGCTCTACTTGAAGAACTTCTGTCTTCGTTCTTGGTTCGAGGTCAGTGTTGCAAATGTAGATGTCTACACTAGATGAAGAATGTAGATTCTTCAATAGTTTTTGTCTAGCTAAGAAACTTTCTTCATAAAGATCGATTCTATATGAAGATAGAAAATCTAATCTACACAAAGATTATTTCTACATAAAGAATCTGTCTACATAAAGATTCGATGTAGATGTCTACAATTCTACATTCTTCTCTGATGTAGACCTGGATGTAGACCTGGACAGATTCTTTATGTAGAAATAATCTTTGTGTAGATTAGATTTTCTATCTTCATGCAGCCAGAATGCAACACTGTTCGAGGTTCTAAAGTCTAGCAAATTTCAATAAACTACAGATTAAAGCTCATCACAGCATCTTCCTAATTGCAAAACATTTTTACATTAATTGCAACAATCATAATTTAAATTCAATTTAATATCCACAAGACTACAAAAGAGTCTTTCTTATTCTTTTTAAAAATTTTATAATGTTTCACGCCTTTTGCCTTTTGTTAAAACATTTCTACAAAATAGTCATAATAATTCTTAGCGCATGCAATTGTTTTTGGTTAGACAGTCATACAAAGAAGAAGAAATAGAATGAAATTGTTGAGCATTGTAAAAAGAAAAACACGGCTAAATTGTATTTATCCAAAATACCGTAACAAGTAAGTCAAATTTAATTTTCGCTAATTTTTTAACATGAAATTTTCTTTTTTTTATGTTCGGTGATTTTTTTTTAATACGGATAAAGTTGTCACTGAGGCAATAAGTTTAGCAAGCTGTAAATTGCATTAACAGACTAGTTTAAATAGCTCATAAAATGAATTGAAAATTTCATTGCTTTAATTTCTTTTATACACAGTCGGATGAAGATAATCTGCGATTTATGAGTTTTTATGAATAGATCGACCGGATGGAAGAATATAGATTGTTAGCATTGTATTTAGAAATAAACCTACATTTGATTAAGTTGCGAATTAGAGTAAGTTTAGTTGTTAAATGTTTTTATGAACAATTTTTGATATTTTAGTGCTAATAATGTTTAAACTTTGGAATATTACGAATTGGAACATTTTTAATGACAGGATTGTCTTTAGACTTATTAAGTAGAGAATGTGCTGGGATAATAAACATGTTTTGATCAGTTTAGCATTCGTGGTTTTTTCGTGAAAAATCCCGAATGGCACAAATTGGTTAATCGATCTGAAATCTGGGAATTGAAATTCAATTTAAACCTAGCACCATGCCAGAATCACACTGGCTTGATGCTGGATTTCTGATCAATTAACTGACTTGCGCTACTAGGGAATATTTGATTTCTTGAGCCAATCATCCAAAACGATCAGATTCGACTTTTCGATAGAAACTATGACAAAGTTGGAGTTCTGACTTAATGGATTAAAATATAAACAACTTGTATAGTTGAATTCTAATTAAACATCTGTTTAAGCTTGACTTTGATACTTATGGAACCAAATATTAAATGATTCACCATGATTTGGACTCGAACTCTTGTTCTTACAATATCTGGATGAACATAATACCTCTGAGCTATGGAGGGTTGGTAAGAAATTTGACAGGATTCCAACTTTAACTAGTTTCTGATCTAAACGAGTTTCTATGAAATCATCGATAATGTTTTCAACCTCCAATGAGCTTTAAAAACGAAATTTCATCTTTCTCAATCTGAGTTTTCGATTCAGTTCTAAATTTTTTTGTTAATTCATTGAAATAAATCAAGAATTCCAATTCAATTAGATTCAAGAACAACCAATTATTTCCAATCTAAAGAATTCTCGATACCTTTAATAAAGTAGTGCGCCTCATTCAATATCTCACAAAAGTACGAAATCCTATTAATTCTACATCCATTATTAAGACATTTCTCTTCCATAACTCACCATAACTGATGTTGTTTGCAATAGCCATGCGCCAAGTTAATACGACGAGAAGTAATTTCAATTTATTGTAATTCATTTTTTTTGCTGCTTGCGATTCTTCTTTTTACACTCACAACTTCCTTTATAATTTAATTTTATTTCTTATTTCTTTATACTCATAAATTCTCTATCTGATTAGATTTATTGAATGCTTTCAACTTGCACACTTTATCATTATTTCCTAGATTGAATCTACATGCTCTTCGTTATAGCATCATTCACTTGATTCTTCTTGTGGATATCACAGACTATCAATTATTCTTATTAATATTTTCTTCGTGCCTTTAGAACTTTTCTTGTAACTTCACCGTAACCGGATATCTTTTATATTATTATTATTTTTTTTTCTTTTATTGAATTTCCACTGGTACGGTCTGCTTTTACGTCTTTACAACTTGACGACTTCACGGAAACTGAATTTTTTTCTTTCCTTCCATTTCACATCTCCCATGAGTTGCGCTGACTGACTGCAATTCTCCATTCTTTGTCTCGCATTGAAATCTCTCGTTTCTCTTTGTGCTTTCTTCGCTTTTTCTTCTCGGCTGTGGTTGTATATTGAGCCATGGGTATAGAATATTGTACGAGATGGTACGAGATATGAACTCTTATTATGTGTTATTTCTTGTCTGTTCTTTTCTGGTTTTTAAATCCGTTCTTAGAATGTCGAGAAATGACTTACAAGAGAAATTCTACATTTATTTCTTTTGTGCTTTATTGCTGCTTTCTATTTGAACTTTGGTTATTGAATGATTTATGGGCTGTTGATTCTGGTTGGTTTTGGGATGGTTTTTGAGAATTTTATTGATTTTTTTGTTACCTTTGTGAATATGGTTCGAAGAGCATATCTGTAGTAGATTGGCCCGAGCATAGGACTCGCGTTGAAACTGGTTATATGTGTATGACGGATAGCCCAAGTGACATAAGTACATCGATGCCTGAGTGGTAGGGATCTCTGATTGATTTGTCAGAGATCTCCTCTTTTGAGGTTGTTGGTTCGATTCCCATCGAACCCGACTTGTTTTACATATGGCAGTTATAAGGAGATCTACAAGCTTGACCTTTAGTTTTGGATTGAACGGCTGTATACTTCCACCTTATCAGAAACTTCCCTGATACTACTTAATCTCGGATATTCCCCTAAAGAATTGAATTTGTAGCTTCAACACAATTTGGCAGCAAACCATCGCCTTCCATCCTCTTCAAATCAAAATGGGTACATAACCTAACCTGACCCGTCACATGGCTGCCATTCGGTTCATTAATTCAACTTCATAATAAGAAAAGAGAACTCAAATTACAATCAAATGATTCAAGAAAGTCTTTCCAACTTCACATTCAATGAAACTCTTCCTTTTTGTATAAATTCAAAGGAAAATGGCAATTCACTTGCTATGAAATAGTAGTTCTCGCATGCATTAATTTCTTACTGAAATTATAAAGATTATATACCACAATTATATGATAATCAATGAGATATTTCTTCAAACGTGTACTGTATAATATTCATTTTTATGTATTTTCTAAATAAAACTTACTACATCAATGCAAAGCTATGATTGCAATCATTTTTATTTCTAGTTGAACAAACGAGAAGCAAAAAATGCATTTTCATATCATTACATCTGTTCTAAAGTCATAAAAGACGTTGTTATGCTGGCAATATGTTACAATAAATCTTGTAATGATGATCATCCACTAAAAGCTTTAGCATGATTGTCTGACGAATACCAAGTAGCTTGAAGTAAATTTCACAGTCATACATAGATCAAATGTGTTGTAGCCCTTATCGTCCATCATTTCTCATGAATTCTTTTGCTGATTATTTCAATTTGATCAAATTGTTTAAAAGGCATAGAAAAGAGATGAAAGATAGGAAGAGAACAAGTAGAAGTTGTAAAGCTGATTGAATGGCTGGAAGGCACTGAATTTAGACTGAGATTTCATTGAGTGATGGAAATTTATGAGTTTGGCTTTGATTGGGAAAGTATAGTTGGGATTATTACATTAATTTAGATAAAATCTAGTACTTAAATTTGATTATGTAGTGATCACATAATTTTGGTGAATAATCAGAATATAATTATATAAATTTTTAATAAAATGCAAAAATCCAATCCATTTTTCAAGAAATTGGATATTAATCTAGTACATTTTTCAAAGAATCTGTCAGAAGTTAATAAAATCTAATATATTTTTGACAATAATCTAGTACACAAAGTTAGAATCTGCTATAATTTGAAAATAACCTAGTACAAAAACTTCGAATCTATTTCATTTTCACAATAATCTAGTACAAAAAGTTAGAATCTAAAACATTTTGACAATAATCTGGTACATAAAATCAAAGTCTGCTTCATTTTTGGTAATAATCTTGTACGACAAAAATTGAATCTACTACATTTTGTAAATAATCTAAGTTTTGATGAAAAATCTAGTCAATTTTTTGCAAAAACAACACAATCTTTAAAACAGTCTAATACAATTTTCAAAAAATGCCAAAACACAAATCCATATTAATCAAATCTACTTAACCAGGACAAAATGTCAAGCAAAACAATCCAATTTATTCAGCACAAATCATCTACAACAAGATGTACAACTTATTAAAGCCTATAAGCGCCTGAGAACAAGATAACTTGAAAGGAGTGTGCTTAATTCGTAAGCGCAAAAAAAAAGCGTAAAAATAAACGTCAATTATCATCTTGCAAAGATTACACGAAAAAAATAGAGTAAGTAATGCAGCCTTAATATTTCTATAATTTGCCCACAAGTAAACAATTTATCATTTCAATGGATTTCCTGTCGCTAGCCATGAGAAAATAAAAAAAACATAATAATGGGAATAGTTTCAAATTAAATTGCCAGAAAGACATAAAGTTTAATCTTGAAATGTTGTTTTATTATCGATATTGCGTGATTCCGCGTTCCTGATGCCTGCAAAAAATTGCAATTGATCTAAATTCTATCCACACAATTTCATAAAACGAATGTAATTTATTAGAGTAATTTGTCATTATCCCAAATAGGCAGAGACGTATGACCAACATTTTCAAGAATTTATTACTGTAATGAATCATTTTACACGCTTTTTTACACGCTTTTATTTAACTCACACTGTTTGTATGTTTCATGCGTCAAATTTTGTAATCGTTATTTCGATCACTTCTCCTGCTACAATCGAACTCAAATTTTTTATGCACACTTATTCTCGGTGACAATACAATATTTTAACATTTTGGAACCACAAAAAAGTTTAATTATAGTACAATTTAAGTAAAACTTTTTTTATATCAGAAAAAATCCAATGTCAATGACATATATTTTTGATTTGTTTAAAATATTATACTTGAAATGTTCAAAAGTCATTTACATGATTTAATATAGTTTAATTAATATTATTAATTATTAATTATACTATAAATTTGAATAGCTAAAGATATTCTGGTAAGACCAGTAAAAAAATTGACAAGTAATTTTTTCATAGATATTCGTAAGTGAAAATTTGAATTTTAAAAAAACCGTTAAGCGCAAGTCAGTTACGTTTTTAATACAAAATAACTATTGATATGCAAATATGCATTTAGCACACATCGTTTGAGCATAATATATATGCTTTTAATGTATTTGATTGATTCTTAACAATTGACTAACATTTAATGAAATTCACTTTCTTTTTATCAACGGCTTGACGTAGTTTTGCATAACATATAAATGAAATTCATTAAAATTAAATTTGAAAAATCCGTTATAAATACTTTAGTATTAAGTAGAAATGGTACGAATAAACACCAAATCTTTATGATTGATTTTTAATGTACTTTACTAATTGATGTTCAGGACACTTTTAAGAGTTTAATGTGTTTCCAAGTATGAATTAAATTATATAAAACGAATGAAAAATTTTGATAGTCTTTACTAATTACCCATTAAAAACTGGTATTCAATAAATAGTTGAACGAAACGGAGTGAAACTAAGTGAAGTTTAGAATTTTGAAAGTTGAATCGATTTGGAGATTTTAAAGACTAAAAAGTAGAAAATAAAATACTTTAAAAAAAACTTTTTTTAAAAAAGCACGCTTTTATTTCCGATTACAGAGCACTAAAAAGAAGAAAATAATTTTTTTTGCTAAGCTCTCAAATTTGATACAAAATTTTATGACTCAAAATAAAAGCGTGGGGCGCTCTTATAAATATCACTTAATCTTGAATTTGTATGTTTACATAAGCGTTAGGTCTTCAATGTTTATAGGTTTGTCTAAGGAGAATGATGAGCCCATACAAATTATGGTAAATCTGAGACGGTAGACATGATCTTTATGAGATTAATGTAGAGTTTTCTGTGTGACACTAGAGATCAAGTCTTACTCTCCTGCTAAATCTAACTAGTTCCTTTATGTCAAAAAATAATTTGAGATCAAAACTTTAAAAGGCCTTTCGTTTTAATACAAAAGTTGAATTAAGAAATGGATAATTAAACTGAATTCAAATAAATTTTGGAAAATCTAGAGCTAGTTTATATTTAACGCCCCACGCTTTTATTTTGAGTCATAAAATTTTGTATCAAATTTGAGAGCTTAGCAAAAAAAATTATTTTCTTCTTTTTAGTGCTCTGTAATCGGAAATAAAAGCGTGCTTTTTTAAAAAAAGTTTTTTTTAAAGTATTTTTTCCATCTTTCTTGATTAATTCTCTTATAGAACCGTAACTTCATTAGTTAACATGAGCCACGAGAACGGAAATTTTGCAGAGCATAGAGGTTAAAGCGGAAGTAAGCTAGATTTATCTAATCCTATTGTATAAGTTAGAGAAAAATCTTAATTAATCGCTGCAATTTAATTATAATCTCGACACTTTTGTATGACTTAGTAGGTATGACCGCTTGTGGTTATGAATTATGATGGGATTTTTGGTATTTGTTTTAGGTAATTAAGGCACAATCTAAATGGAAAAGTATAAGTGAGTTCCTAACCTTTCTTGTCCATGGTTCCTTCAGTGTAGCTCGACATTAAAGCATTAATACATTTCTAATCAGTCGGTTTTAAGGCAAGTCGAAGCACAGATCATCAGTACCATTAAAAATCCATGTAATGCACAGATTCATGATCCTAATAACTTAAGTGGTTTGATACTTGTTGTTGAAATCTCACAAATCTCCAAACCATCAACAATCAATCACAAGCTATTAAGTTCGATGTAATCGATTGAATCTTATAAATAATTTCAGCTACATTTTCCAGCACTAATGCAATTCGTACAACATATGTCGAGATATGCACAACTTCCATTTAGAGGAAGTTCTTCTCTGATGATTATTCAATTAATGCACCAAGCAAAGAAATTGAATGTAATCATGATTGAATGGTTGAATGTGCATGATACCTAGCACATTCCATTAAAGTACTCATCGTAATTCCCGTTTCGAGTGCTTGTTGTCCATAATTAATGCAAAATTTCCGTCCATTAAAGTTTATTGCATTTTGAAAAATCTTCAAGTGCTTTTTGAGAAGATTAAGGTTTAGTCTCATTTTGGACACTTTCTTTCTCATTCAATTCTGTGAATTTCCCTTTTCATGCTTGACATTTAAATAGAATTTCCTGACACAATACCAAATTTATGTATATCTTAATAGGAATTGGCTCATCTCTGAAATAAAATTAGGTCAAATATCTTTTTATTTTGTAGACTTACAGTAATTATGTGCCTTATTTATTTCCATTGAGTCTCTCTTTTACTTCATTTTCATTGGAACTAAAGAGCTAAACATACGGAACTATTTTCATAGAATTTCCATTTCATTTGAAAGAGATTCTTTTTGTGTAATCTGAATGTAAGAAATCTCAAAGACTCAATTGTTTCGACCTTTATACCGTTACTGGAGCTTGCTTATGCTGAATATGAATATCAACCAAGACTGGAGCAATTGCAAGTCATTCGTGATCGATTGGAATTGATTTGTGAGTTTTTCAAGACATTTTGAGATGCGTGACATGCTGAATATGGACATAGGCTTTCTGATGGCAAGCAATTGATGGCTGAATTCATCATAGTCAATCTGTATTGATTAATCACAGTTACACAATAGGGCGATAAAAAATGCTAAAATATTTAACTTACTTGCAACTTACTTCCATAAATAATTCATGAATTTTATGCTTCCCATAAGCTCAATCCCATCTCATGCTGTGCTTCTTCATCATTTTTTGTGTGCTTCTTCTTCTTATTCTAAATAAATGCAATCATATGACTCTAAACGGGATTTTTCAATTGCTATTCTTTCACTGCCGTACTGTTCGTTCGTTCCATCTTTCTGCTGCTCATAACGACATTAGATTAATTGCTTCTTTCTCGTTCTATTCTTCAGAACTTTGTTGACTTGTTTTTTATTCACATTTTAAGTACAATGAAGACTCAAAGCTTGAAAAAATAAATGTTTTAAAAATGGAAATAGAAATGGAACTAGAAATGAAGAATTTTAAGGCATAAAATACTAAAGAAACAGTTTAAAGTTCTCAGCATATGACGAATGTGAATTGAAGGTTTTTCTATAATTTAAACTTAGTAAAGTACTGTGCATTGTTAAGACTGAGTTGTTGGTTCTATTGCTGCTGTTCTCAGCATGTGTTTTGGCTTTTAGGCAGGCATTTGTTGTTGAGATTCTAAAAGCTTTTATGTCAATTGCTTTATTTCATCTAGAACCTGTCAATGTAAAAGCTACAAAATCCCACGCCATATACAACAGAAGTGCACCAAAAAAAAGTTCAGAAGCTTGACAGAAGAGATGCAAAAGAGGAAACTAGAAAGTGCTAATTATAATGTTTTGCAGTGTTGCTCTGCAATTGCATGAAAGATCACAACCATGCACGAATTTGCTCTAGAAATAAACAGCAGCAACATAAGAACTGAAAGATGATGCGGCAAGCCACAACTTTCCATTTTTAATTTTATCGATACTATTATTGATATGAAAGTAAGTTGTGACTACTGGAATTGCTGCTGGAGCTATTAATTTCTATGAATATGCAACAGCACAAAGGCTGATGCCCGTAACATCCAAGCATTGATTAATTAATAAATGAATATATCCACAGACACAATTAATTTATTCATGCTGCATATAAAGTCATTGATCATCGCCGATATGCTTTGACTTATGTGCTACAAATTTTACTATGCAAATCTCACGATGATGACGACTAAGACGAAGATGATTTACCGCTAACTGCACATCTTCATCCATTCAATTCCATATAGATCCAAAAAGTCAAGAAGATCAGTGGATTAACATTTTCCAGCTATGGAGCAAGTGAATGAAGTTAATTGAACAATTTGTTTGCATGACTTTTGATTTATCGCTGCGCTCATTTCATGCTTCATATTCATAAATGTTTATTTATCATCACTGTATCATCATCATCTCTCCATTGTCTGTATGTACTTTATGCTGTAAATAAATACCTTTAATGAGTTTCTATTATGCAAACTTCAGAACTTTTATTGAGGAATTGGAACTGAGAATGACACAAAAACACATCAAATGGAATTGAGCTGCAGAAAATGGGACATGAAGAATAGATAATAATTTAATTAATGTCATTGTCATTGTCTATGCTGTGTCTATGTCTTATAAATAAGCAAAATGTAATTATGGACATGTCATCATGTGAAATAAGACATGAAATGAGGAACGAATGGAAGGAAAATGATTGAAGAAATAAAATTAAATTAACAATAAGCCAGGCAGGCTGAAAAGACATAGAAGTGAAAAATTGCATGCAAATCATTGAAGCACAAGATAAAGACATGAAAGCAAAATGACACATAATCAGCCAGAATGACATAAATTCTTAATAAGTTTGCTTGCTTGAATAAATTTATTATTTTGAAAGTTTCATGCAAATTTTAACAAGATAATCAGCTTCAGTCAGGCATTTTATTTTTTGCGCTTTTTAAATTTAAATTGAAACCTTTTTAAAAATGATTTTCTAAAAAATATTTGAAATGTTGCTTTTGTTGAACATGTTAAGCTTGCATTTGAATGGTTGTGGACTGTCAATCCTTACCAATCCTATATAGATCGTTCCAAGAATGTGTATGAAAAGCTAGTCTCGCTTAGTGGATCGAGGTAATTTCATTTTATTAGTGACTAGCTTGACTCATTTGAAGAAACCATCTGGATGATACCTAATATCCAAGTTGAATACCATTTCACAGCTAATTGCTAGTCATTGAGTCAATTCTTATGAAAAATACACCTCAGACACAACAAATGCCACTAAACCACCTCAATTTGTCACATTTAATTTCCATTCTACAATTTTCATGCAGTCTACCCAACAATCAACTCTGAAAAGAAGTGACAAAAGCTTGTTAGACTCAACAATTCACTCAACTAATTGAAATTGACCATTGTAACAAGTGGCAATTCCAATTATTATAATTAAAAGCCTCAGCACCTTTGTTTTGATCCCAATTTCTCTCATCAACATAACAATCTCTAATTGATAATTTCTATGATTTGTTGGACACTAATGCACCAACTTACAATGAGCTTGCTTTACAGATATCATTACAAACAAGTATAATTAAAAGATTATTAACATAATCTCGTATGGACATTAACCACAAGACTTGATAAAAGCGAAAGCAATAAAATAACATGAAGCAATAAAATTTTATGGCACAAATTACATTTAAAATAATCTTTTTACCGCAAAAAAGCATTTGCCATTTGATTCTTGATATAGGCGACATTACAACTTTCTTCTTATTTTCTGCAACTTATCAAACTTCTTGCTGTGATGTTTATGATTCCTCATTAGAAATCAGTAATTAAAAAGCAGGAAGAATTAATTTGTGGAGCACAAGACTCAAATAAAAGTGGATTAATGTGATTACTACTGTGATTCAATATGAGAAGCTTTTCAATTGTCAACTCGATTTGGTTTATGTCTTCACAGTCTGGATGAATGAAAACGATGCTAATTACATTTTGTTCTCTGTTTGCATCTCCAATTTCTAAATGAATGCGAGCACGAGATGAATTTTATTAAATTGAGAAGATACATGAAGACCTAGTTCCTGAAATGTTCTCACTTTTGCTTAATTTTTGAGGTTTTATGGATTTTTTATGTGACAATTCTGCATGACAATGTAGGATTCTAGGCTATAAATCCATGTCTGGCTTGAGGAAAAATATTGGCAATTCCAAAATTTAATTTCTGTGTCACTGTCATAAATTTTTTCCCGCCAAAAACAAATCTCACGTTTCAATTTAAACAAAACTAAGAAATAAAATTATTAAATCGTGACCAAAAAAGGCGACGACTTCCATCCGTTCCCAAATATCTGTGTCAAATGGCAGGTGAAATGTGCCAAACAATGGCTGATCTTCAATAAATTAATTACGATTCTTGCCGGAGAAAATTAAGATGTGAATTGTTGAGAAGCAATAATGCTCAAAAAGTATGATTGAGTTGGAAGTGATGTGGACGAAGAAGAACAGCTGTGGACTTCATCGTCTACTTCTCATTCATTTCACATCTCAATGCTGATTATCTAATTAAATTTGTTTGTCTTAATGCTGTTTACAACTCTATTAACTTCTTATTCCATGCTGCATTGTCTCTCTTCACAGCACCGCATCTCATAACTCAGCATGTTGTAAATGAATCGCGCAAAAAAAAAGATTTTTGACACAATTTTCATTTTCTTTGTTTCCACATTTCTTTCCTTTCAGATTCACACATTCGGCTAGAAGAACCGTTCTTTGTGATGATTTTTATTTTCTTCCCCTTAATTTGTCATTTCAAATCTCTCTTAATTCAGATTTATTTGTTTGACATTGTAATGATCTCTGTCGATCAATCTTCATTATTGGATGTCTAATGCTTTCTTCACATGAGTAGAAGATTTAATCAAGAGAATCAAGATATTTTTTACAATCAATAATAATAATAGTGGGACGTGCTATGAGATGAAGATGTAGCGGAAGAAGAAAATTTGAAATATTTTAGAGCGCCATCTGTTAAGGAATGGAAGAAAAATAAGTGGATGGACTGGAACTCTTATTGGAATCTTTGATGGTTTGTTGGTTAAAAGTGATTTGATTCTAGTAGGAATCAAACTCGAGATTTTATCAAAGAAATTTATGGCTCGCTATTCTCATTCACACAATTAGGTTCCAAATCTTATACAAATCTTCATGCTAGAATAATCTTAGAATTTGATTATAGCAACCAAAAAAGCTTTATTTTGTACGTTTTGTTTATTTTTGTAAAATTAATCAAAAGTGTTGATGACGAGTAAAAATGAAAGAACCGTAAGTCTTACCTCTAAAACATCTTTTATGTTTGCATAAAATTCAAATTTTAATTCCCACAGATTCCGAAATCTAAAGTTAAGAACAGTTCCCATAAAAATGACTTGATAATCCCCCTCATCGATGACTCTGTAATTGCAAACATCGACAACATTATTACAGCATTCAAACTTCCACATCAAGACCTTAAAACTGAAAATCAAAATTACATTAAAAGCTTGAATGAACTTGAAAAAGTTAAGGAACTGCTTCAAAAAATTAATCTTGAGTCATCTTCATCAGCATCGACTGTCAAGTCATCAAACGCTTCCATTTCCGATAATGAATTGATAAGAAACAGCATAGAGATGCTTAAAAATGGCGGAAAGTTTGTAAAGCCAATATCAACAGTAAATTCATCATCCAGCACAGCAAGTACAAACAATTTAGCACCAAAATTTTCATTATCATCACTCAAAAATGCCATAACAGTTTCATCATGTAAATTTAACCAGAAACCATCAAAAAACATGCGAAAGGTCACAAGGAAAAGCAGTCGAAGTCTATTGACTAAAAAGTCGGAAATGTCAGAACAAAAGACGAGAATAAATAAGCAAAAAGTAAATAATGAAAAATTGCCACCAAAAATAGTAAAAACATCCTATGCGACGTGCCGCATTCATCAATACAACGACAATTCACGTACATTTGAGATAAATAAACCGAGAAGCGTGAGCTGTTGTGGCGACAGCAATCATATTGAATCGGAAATTGTAATTGTTGTGATGGCGGATGGCAATACAGCCCTTTTTGCATCTGAACATAGCTCGTTGCTAGACATGTTTAATCATAATAAGAATCGCGTGAAAAGTTAATTTAATAAAAAACTGAATTTGTAATTATTTTTGTTGGAGAAAATGTTAAATTGTCTGAGGTTGGAAAGACTTAGTGCAAGGGGTGGGTGCTGTCTGGGTATATATTGAGCAGCATGTTTGACTCTATGGTCTTTGTTTTCTAACCTAAAATCGGTGAATTTTCACTATGAATGTTCAGCGCTATTGTAGCTCGTAAGTACAACTCCTTTTAGATTTTAGCCTATTAGTGGGTCCTAGAACCACCTATGTCCCTTATGTTAACGATTGTTTAGTAGATACAATACTGTTCCTTCGGAACCAAACTTTAAAAATTCAATAGAAGTGATCTTAACTAATTAGCAACTGGCTCGAAATTCACATTCTAGCACCAAACATCTCTAAAACCAAATACATACTTTTTCACAACAAAATGCGATTCGAAACTTTCACTGATTGTACTATGCACACGTTCAATGCCACTTAAACTATATGAACTTTATTTGGGCACCAATTACACAAAATTTAATGCAAATAATTGAAATAACACAACGAAATGCTCTTAGAGTCATTTTAAAAAAAAGCTGGCATTGTAGTAGAAGTGAACTATATAGTGTTAAAATTCTACCAGTATCGGCATTTTGTAATGTGAGCACATGTTTACAAATTTTTAAGATCTCAAAACAATTACTTAAAAACAACATTCAAATCCACACAGCCAGTCAATTCCATCAACATACAACACGTCATCGTGAAAATTTCGTTGCAAGGAAATATAATTCCGTCTTAGGTAGTCACACATTTTATATACGAGGTCCTAATCTTTTCAACACAGTGCCACAAGACATTAAGAAATTTTACTCAATAAGCATTTTCCAAAACCGTATTAGGGAACATTTTTTCGAAATTTATTGTAATGCAAATAATATTAATAATTCAAAATCTTTACAAATTAAAATTATAAATATTCATAGCACAATTGAAAAATGATTTATGAATCAATAAAACTAAAAATTTAAAAAAAAAAACAGCTTAAAACCCAACCTAATGCTAGCAAACAGAAATTTTTGAGTTCTTATTATTCGAACTTCGAATTTTTGAGGTTCTTATTTTTCGAAAATCGAATCTTCGAAGTTCTTATTTTAGAAAAAAAGCGTTGTGAATTATTATGTTTCGAGTAATTTGTAATTTTAGTGAACATTCCTACTAGTTTTTATGATTAAGATTATCACTGTGATGAAATTGCATTCCTTAAATGTTTATGCTTTAAAAAACAGCTAGTTTAAAAATAAATAAAAAGTAACGGACTTTCTTATTTTGAAATTTTAAAAAAATACCGCGCGAAAATTTTGAAATTTTTTTGTTTGTAACGGACTCTGTTCTCTTTGCTAACATTGGAACCCATCAAAACCAAATATCCCAACCCTTGATCAACTGGCGACATTCATAACAATTTTTCGTGATGTCTGCCATTTATATCCGTTGCATAGCCTTTTCAAACAAACCCTGATTGGCATCGTTGCCTTATCATATTAATTTCACATTCATTCATATTCAATTTTATGGCATATTTTTAAAATTCATCTCATATCGCAAATCATTTTTCAATTTCCATAAATTAACACGCCATCAAATGTGTCTCCAACAATTTGCATGTCTATTATCGAGATTAAGATTGTAGAATGAGAGACAGCACAAAAAAAAAAGTTTCAAGTGCGAGAATTATTCTAGTTAATGTGACAAATGCAACTATTGAATTGGAAGTAAAGTGGGTGTGTAAGACAGAATGAAATGTTTATTATAAAATAAAGTTATTATTGGATAGATTGTGGATATTGAGTATGATTTGGTATTTAAATCAATGCGGGAAAATGCAATAAATCTCAAGGGATTAAAATTAATTTTGATTTATTTAAACAAAGTTCGTCTTTATTGATTTTACAGCTTTATAATCTAAAATTCTGGTCAAATTGATGAACACCTTAAGGATGCAGCTTCAAAAACCTCAAAGTTCGATCATTTTGAATCTCATCTCAGAATCAGGAATGTTGACAAATGTGCTTTTAATCTTCATGTCTGGATAGTGCCATTCAACCTTAAAGTTCCTAATTATGTTGGCTACTAAAGTTTCAAGCTCGAGCTCAGCAATTCTCTTTCCAATGCAACTATGAGGATTAAAATTAAGTTCAGATTAGTTTGATTTTTCCAAGTCCAAATAAAGCTCAAATTGGCAACCACAACACGGTAATAGCTCATTAATTCTTAACACTCACCTTCTAACCCCAAATCCGAATGGTAAAAATGAAAATGGATTAGCTACACCAGCTCTGCTGTTATTGTCACTTTGATCCCTTAACCATCTTTCAGGAAGAAACTTGTCAGGATTTGGATAATATTTCTCATTTATTAAATCCAAGTGAAACTGAAGACCAACATGTGTATTAGCTGGTACTTGATATCCGGATATCACAATTTCTTTCGTCGTTTGTCTAACATTTCCAGATGCTACTGGAAATAAGCGCATTGCTTCCTTTATCACAGCACGAAGATATGGCATGTTCTTATTGTTCTCTGATGTCATTCTTGAATTTTTTTCAGGTAGTATGTTGATTAGTTCTTGTCGAAGAATTTCTTGCTTTTCTGGATTTTTGGCGAGGCAGTAGATTGTGTTCAGAACGGCACTGGCTGTCTATAAGGGAAATCTTTACTCAATTTATTAAAAATCGACTCAAAGCTACTTACTGTATCAACACCAGCTAGCATCAAATCAGACACGACAATAACAGCAACTCGTTTGTCAACTCGAAGGAGCTTTTTTAAAATGCTGTCTTCACTCTCAGATGCTGTTGACTTTTCTTGATCCATTTCTTTTATAGCCAGATCGATGTAATAAAGAATCACACTGGAAGAATTAAAGGAATCTTTAGATCTCACTTAGAGTCATAATTTTACAAGCCAAACTTACTCAGTCAAAGTATCATAAACAGTCAGAAATTCTTTAAATCCTTTTGTCTGATAATACTTCCATACTGATGCTTTACCATCATATTCTGCTGACATTTCGAAAAAGTCTCGAATTCCTTTAATCAATTTCTTGGCATTTTCATCGTTTGTGTTTGGATCGAATAGATTAAGTCTGCGTTCTAGACCAACTGCAGTAACTGACTCAAGTGACCATGTGTTGATGTAATTAGAGAAGTCACCTGGCATCTCACTTTTGTCGTTCCTTATTTTCCTCATTCTGGAAATTATAAACGGGTTATAAGGTGTTTGGGATTGAGTCATGGGTAGATGGGCCGGTTTCTGGGTACTTGGGATACTCTTCCTTAGGAGTATATCCCGGGAAGTCCAAAAAACGGAATTAATCACTTTCACATCCTTATAGTGGGCCAGAACTTGTTTAAAACTCTCAAACCAATATGTGACTTACAATTCAATAAACTCCTTAGCAATGTCATCAACCTGAGTTGTATACTTCTTGATTGTCTTTGGTTGCATCAAAATTGGATTGGCTATAGACCTCATGTTTGACCACTTCTCGCCATGTGATACAAAAAGACTTCCTAGATCCTTGTAGATTTCTGGACGTTTTGTATCTCTGTAGTATTCAAGGGAGTCAAGACCTGTTCGTACAGGCCAGGTTCCTTCGGCTCTGAAAATCTGAAATGCAGAGAATTTTTTTTGAGAAAACAGGTTGGGGGTGGGCTGATGCATGAACTTAATCTGTGATTTACTGGTTTGTAGCTTATTAGTCGCAACTAAAATCTCAAAAGTTTAAATTGAGTACCGAAACACGCAGTTTGAGAACAACTGTTTAAAAATAAAGTAAAGTGTCTTAGACAGCTTTAGATACGGGCATCCGATTATTGTTCGAGATTTTGCTCAAATTTTGCCATATTTGGAATCATAATAATGAAAATACACAAAAACACTGATAAACTGATTGCCATATAAGGAACAAGAGAGAGTAAGAGAAATGTTCTCTCAATTTTATTCATGACGAGATTCTCAAAAATAATCAAGCCAATTGAAAAAAATCAATTTTAATTCTTACCTTCTCAAAATTTTCAGAGTTATATGACATCACAATTTCTGGATTGCCCAGCATAGCTGGAATTCTTACAGCTTCTCCAAACTCATCAAAGAATGCCTGCAACACGTCCTTAATAGATTTATTGTAATATTTCCCGCCTGGCAAGCTCTCCTTAACCATTTTAAAGAATGTTATTGTTGGCATTTCAGAGAATGGCTTTACATTTTCAACTTCACTGCCAATGCTGGCTGAATAAGCACGACGCGTGAGAGAATTAACTTGCCTAATGAGGAGACTTCTCATTGTTTTTGTTTTGATGTTAAAAATAAATATTTTGAGTCAGAATGATTTTGTTTTAGGGACGAAACACCTTTCACAACAGATTACGCGTTGAGACTGAGAGATTTTTTTTTTGGGAAGGCACGCATTTTTGAGAGAGAGAGAAAATGGAGAGAAATTGAGAGAATTTTTTTGATAACAAGTGTGTGAATGAAGATCTTTTTGTGCAACAAATTGTAGCTAAATTTGAAATTTAATTGTTGGCTCTATGGGGTCGTTCATAAATGATATCCATTGAAAGTTGATTAATTTTGTAAACCAATAAAAATTTAAATATTCTGTGATGTAAAAATATTCTTTATTCATTCACCAAAATAACAAAATTTGCCCACAACAACTCATCTTTAGACATCAATAATTTTAAACCTCATTTCTGAATCCGGAATGTTGACGAAAGTGCTCTTAACTTTCATGTCTGGATAGTGCCACTCAATCTTAAAGTTCCGTATTATGTTGGCTACTAAAGTTTCCAGTTCTAGCTCAGCAATTCGTTTGCCTACGCAGCTGTGAGGGAGAAAAATAAAGGCATTAGAATTCATTGGAATTTAAGGACATGATTGGTTTCAGTAAATCCTTCAATTGATAGTTCTAACTTTAACTTCCAACATCAAGAACTCACCTTCTAGCACCAAATCCGAAAGGAAGAAACGTAAATGGATTTGTAGCACCAGCTCTAGGACAGCCTTCAGTTTGTTCTCTCAACCATCTTTCTGGCAAGAATTGTGTGCCATTTGGGAACAGCTTTTCACTTGTTAAATCAAAAACAGGCTGCATTGCTACATGAGTATTTGCAGGAACCTGATATCCTGATATAACAATATCTTTTGTGGTCATTCTGACATTTCCTAACACAACTGGGAATAGACGGAAGGACTCTTTAACCACAGCTCTCAAATAAGGCATGTTTCTAGCTTTTTCAGGAGTCAATTTTGAATTTTTGTCAGGAAGAATGTTGATCACTTCTTGTCTGAGAATTTCCTGCTTTTCTGGATTTTTGGCTAGACAGTAAAGTGTGTTGAGTGTTGCACTTGCCGTCTGTGAAAGGAATTGAGGAATTATTAAAGTATCCAACTGAGTTTTGATGTGAATTATTTACTGTATCAACACCAGCCAACATTAAGTCTGAAACAACGATGACTGCAACTCTTTTATCCACTCGAAGTAACTTCCTTAAAATGCTGTCTTCAGCATCATTTGATGAATCATTCTCATTCATTTCCTTTATAGCTTGGTCTATGTAGTGCATGATTATGCTGTTAAAAATGAACAACATGATTATAAATTTGTGTGGATTTCTCCTAAATAACCTTTTCCCCAACTTACTCAGTCAATGTATCATAAACATTCAGGAGCTCTTTAAATCCTTTAGTCTGATAATACTTCCAAATTGAAGCCTTTCCATCATATTCAGCAGTCATCTCGAAGAAGTTTCTGATTCCTTTGATTAATTTTTCAGCATTCTCATCTTTTGTGTTCTCATCGAATAGATTAAGTCTTCGTTCAAGTCCGACAGCAGTGACTGACTCTAGTGACCATGTGTTGATGTAATTGGAGAAGTCGCCTGGCATTTCACTTTTGTCGTTCCTTATCTTTTTCATTCTGGAAATTATAAACGGATTATAAGGTACTTAGGATTTGGTCATGGGTAGATGGATCGATTTCTAGGGATCACTTTCACATCCTTATAGTGGTACACAACTAGTTAACAATCACTCAAACCAATAAGTCACTTACACCTCAATGAACTCTTTAGCAATCTCATCGATCTGGGTTGTGTACTTCTTGACTGTCTTTGGCTGCATCAGAATTGGATTAGCAATCGTTCGCATATATGACCATTTCTCTCCATTTGATGCAAAAAGACTTCCAAGATCTTTGTAGATTTCTGGACGCTTTGTTTCTCTATAATATGTCAGACTGTCAATGCCTAATCTCACAGGCCAAGTTCCTTCAACTCTGAAAACCTTGAAAATATTTTTTTTTATTTTTTGATAAAATCAGCAGCACCATATTAGGAATGAATTGTATTTATATATTATATTAAATGAATTGTTATTAACTCGATATCTTAAACAGCTGAGTCATGAACACAGAGAGAGAAAAAAATCAAAATAATTATTCTCACCTTCTCAAAATTCTCAGCATTGTATGTGATCACAACTTCCGGCTTTCCTAACATTGGTGGAATTCTAATTGTGTCACCGTACTCGTCATAGAACATTTTTGTAATTTCTTTAATTGACTTTTTGTAATATTTTCCGCCCGGTAAGTTTTCCTTAACCATTTTGAAAAAGCTAAGTGTTGGCATTTCTGCGTACGGCTTTGTATTTTGAATATCATTGCCAAGGTTGATTGAAGCTGAACAATAAGCGCGACGCGAGAGAGAATAAACTTGTCTTGTGAGCATGTTTAATAACTTATGACGATATAAATAGATTATGAGTATGTATGCTCAATGTGATGTATCGTCCATCGACTATAGAATCTGAAATAAGACTGAGAGTATTTTTGGACATGCATGAGTATTTTATGAATCAGATAAAGAGCGAAAAGATTGAGTATTTGTGAGATAATGAGAACATTTACAGCTGATTAGATATGAAGAGTCAGCTTTACAATCTTTATTTGGAATTTAGTTAAAGAATCGTTAAAAAAAAAATTTTATCCCTGAAACCTTTAGCTTTATTATTACCATTTATAAATTCATGCAAAAATCTTTAAACATCAATTATTTTGAATCTCATCTCAGACTCTGGAATATTTACAAAAGTGCTTTTGATCTTCATGTCTGGATAGTGCCATTCAACCTTAAAATTTCTAATAATGTTGGCGATTAAAGTTTCCAACTCAAGCTCAGCAATTCTCTTTCCAACACAGCTGTGGATTAAATTAAATATTAATGTTTCATACTTAAAAAAATTCAAGCACAAACCTTCTAGCACCAAATCCAAAAGGCAAAAAAGTGAATGGATTTGAAGTTCCAGCCCTAGGACAACCTTCAGTCTGGTCTCTCAACCACCGTTCAGGCAAAAATTGTTGAGCATTTTGATAAAATTTGTCATCCTGAAGAGCAAATACCGGCTGCATTCCAACATGAGAGTTGGCTGGAACATGAAAACCTGATAAAATCACATCTTTTGTAGTCATTCTGGCACTTCCAGATACAATTGGAAGAGTACGGAAGGATTCTTTAATGACAGCTCTCAGGTATGGCATGTTCTTTGCCTTTTCAGGAGTTAACGGTGAATTCTTGTCTGGAAGAATTGTAAAAAGCTCTTGACGAAGAATTTCCTGTTTTTCTGGATTTTTTGCCAAATTGTAAAGCGTATTGAGTGTTGCACTAGCAGTCTGTAAGGACGATCTTAATGCTTCATCGATTTTTCACAAATCATTGATACTTACTGTATCAACACCAGCTAACAGCAAATCAGAAATTACAATGATTGCAACTCTTTTATCTGCCCGAAGGAGCTTCCTCAAAACACTGTCTTCTGTTTCAGCTGTGGATGAATTATCTTCGTTCATCTCCTTCATAGCCAGTTCAATATAGTACATGATGACACTGTGGATTTAAAATATTTTATTGAGGGTTTGAAGAACCAGTTGGAAGAACCACATACTCAGTAATGTTGTCGTAAACTTTCAGCAGCTCCTTAAAACCTTTAGTCTGATAATACTTCCAGATTGATGGCTTTCCATCATACTCAACAGTCATCTCGAAAAAGTCTCGAATTCCTTTAATCAATTTCTTTGCATTTTCATCATGTGTTTTCTCATCGAAGAGATTAAGTCTACGTTCAAGTCCAACAGCAGTGACTGACTCTAGTGACCATGTATTGATGTAATTGGAGAAGTCACCTGGCATCTCACTTTTGTCGTTCCTAATTTTCCTCATTCTATGTTAAGAATTTGCATTGAATATATGAATTCTTGCTACAAATCAATGACAATACTCACAAGTCCACAAATTCCTTAGCAATGTCATCAATCTGTGCCACATATCTCTTAATTGTCTTCGGCTGCATCAAGATTGGATTCGCAATTGATCTTATGTTTGCCCATTTTTCTCCATGTGATATAAAAAGACTTCCAAGATCTCCATATATCTCTTGACGCTTTGTATCTCTATAATATGTCAAACTATCAAGTCCCATTCGTACAGGCCAGTTGCCTTCAACTCTGTAAACCTAGGAGATATTTTTATTAATCCTGTAGCTTTACTTAACACAAATACTAACAGTTTCGAAATCATCAGGATTGAATGTGATGATAAATTGAGGTCTTCCTAACATAGCCGGTATTCTCATGATGTTGCCATACTCTTCATAAAATAATTGCTGCATTTCTCTCATTGACTTCTTGTAATACCTTCCACCAGGCAAATTACCTTTAGCCACTTTAAAAAATGACATTGTCGGTATTTCACTGAACGGTCTTGCATTTTTAATATCACTGGCAAGATTCACAGCTGAGCAATAAGCGCGACGCGAGAGAGCACAAACTTGTTTACTGAGCATGATTGTTATTTTTTATTTATAAAAATAGATTTTTTTTGTGAGAATATTTTATGCTCAGCGCGATGTATCTTCCTTCTTCAATAGAAACCGCTTTGCGACTGAGAGAATTTTTGGACATGCATGAGTATTTTAGTCGATCGGAAGAGAAACAGAGAGAGTGACTTATCATAATATTGTGTAAAATCTGATAATATTGTGAAAATGTGTTTCTTTGTGTGTGTGGAATTAAAAAGAATTAATCGATTGATTTAAGTCTGCAATAGAATTAAAGAATTTTAGACAGCAGATTCTTAGCCTCAAAAAATACTTAATTATCTTCCTTAAAAGATCCTTTGACCAATAAATTACTCACTTATTTACTTCGAAGACCTTACAGATCAATTGTGATCCATGGTCTCCCTCAGATGCTGGCTAAAACTTGCTCTATCGCAATAACCAATAAGTATCTTCATTATTATCTGCTTAAGAAATCATTCTACTTATGCTAACCATTTTTGTCTCATGCATATCCGATATTAATTTCCATAATTTTTTTGTGACTGAACACAAACAGAGACTTCTTTTTACAAAGGCAGCAAAGGTAAGTAACAATAGAAATGATATTTATCATGCATTCTAAAAAGCGAAAGTGTCTCATAAAAAATTCCCACGCAAATGTTTATGAGATGAACGAGTTGAAAATTAAGACTTTTTTTTACAAAATGCATTACATTTTCGTGATGGGAAGCTACATAGTTGAAATTTGTAGGGCGTTTGAGAGAAATTGAGTTGAGATTAGAGCGCATTTGGGATTTTCTTACTTGAGAATTATTTTGGAGGGAGTTAAATTTGCAATCCCATCTGATTAGGTTATGGATTTAGGCTAGATTAAAATGGAAAGAAGAAAAAGTTAACGCGGAATTCAAAAAATCATGAAATGTCGTTAGCATTATGCGAATCATTGTCAAATCGTCAATACCAGAGTTGCAATCTGTCACAGGTCAACGAAAATAGTCCAACTATCACAGGCTGCTCTGTCACAGGTCTGTCAACAGATTGTAGTCGCAACTCTAGCAAGGGTGTGGTACTGATGAAATGATCAAAAATGATCAAATTGTAATTCTTCAGTTTCACACCCTTGAACTCTAGTCAACATTCTAAACAATTTTTGAAAAATCGGTCTCTGGCAGGAATCGAACCCACGTCTTCACAAAAGAGGGTTTCTGTAATCTAGTCTATTGATTAACCACTTGCGCCAAAGAGTCCTAACACTCGCACTGACAGAATCGACTAATTATGGCGCGATACCCCAGATTCCACCTTTTTTGATGACAGTTCAATCAGTAGCCATCAAGAGATCCCATAAACCCAAAGACAAACTAAGACAATCAACATCTTTCAAATTATTCAAGAAAAAAAAAGTTACGTTAAGCCGATATAACGTAAGTAGAAGACACAATAAAAAAGAATAAACATAAAATAAAATAAATTGTGCGGCGCATAACGACAACAAGCATCAACCTCGCCCGATAATCATCAATAATCCCATTACTTGCTGAGAATATGACGTGTGAGTGTAATTGAATGAATGAAAAAAAATAAAATAAAGGCAAAGATTTTTATTTTATGAATGGAAGAAAAACGAGTACGCAAAGTTGACTGGAGAAGATTGTGAGGGAGTGCAATGGAGAGACACGCTAAGCATGACAAAGAGAGAAAACGTAAATATTGGAATATTTATTAGCCGCCTACATCATCTGTCGCCACTGTAGAAATAAAATAAAAAAAAAAGTATTTTTTTCATTCATAAATGTGGATTGTACAGACCTATTATTAAAATGGCATATTTTAAAGTATAATGGATGTTGAAATAAATAAGTAAGTAGTGAAGATATACAGCTAATAATGCTGAAGATCAATTGATGAGATCATAAACTATTGAATAAAGTTGTTGACTTTGATTTTTTTCTTTACTGTCTATTTGCCTTTACACTCACGATAGAAAAATTAAAAATATTAAAATATTAAATTAATAAATTAATTTATGACTTAATCGATTGACAAGTTGTAAAGTCACAAAATATTTTGACATTATTTATTGCTAATCCTCATGTCACGTGTGTTCTAGTCAGTGTGAATTTAATGTTGTTTGAGCAAGATGTATGTGGCATGAAGGTGGCATCAAAGATCAAGTTCTCTGAGCTTGTTGATTTCGAGATACAGGAGCTAGCTTATCAGGTATTTCTCAATGATGCGGAGCTGTTAAAATTACATTTTGATCAATTTTGGTTATTGTTGATAAATTTTGATTATTTTTGAACAGTTTCGATTATTTTTGATCATTTTTAATAATTTTTTGATCATTCAAATTTGATTTGTGACGTGGCACACAGGTTAGACAGTACTGACGATTACAAAGCAAGGGTTTTGTCGTTCAAAACGAAATAAAACATTTGGCACCATTTATAATAATTTTGAACCTTCATGCTGCACTGAAGCTATGCTATTGCCTTAAGACAGTGTTATCCAAACTGTGTGACGCGGCACACTGGTATGCCGCAGAATGATTTTTGGAAATAATGCGAGTCGAATGCTGTGTGCGACTTTGGTAATGGCTTATACCTAAAGTGTGCCGTGGCTCAAAAAAGTTTGGACAACACTGCCTTAGGTACCTTGAAGGTACCCTCAACTGCTCCTTTATGAGTTGTTTGTTATCTCTCTGGCTAGTCCTTACTAGCTAGATGAGGAGAGTCTACTTTAACAAAAGCATTTCCTTGGCTCCGAACTCAGTCAATTCTAAACCGAAACATATTCAAACTATTCCAAAATTACACCATTAGTCAATAACCACAGAATGTAAGCCACGAACAAGATATGTAAAGAAAATGCTTACATATGAGCAAATCATTACAAATTATTATTTCAAAAAAAAATTAAAGCTTAATAAGTGCAAATAATAATTTAAATCCACCTCCTTAATAATTCCATTTACAGTAACACGCAATTAATCAAAAACACTCAATGTGAGATGACTATATAGCCAGTCAGTCATTCAGCCATGCTAATTCATGAAAAAAAAAGCAATTAATGGATATGTAATTGATTTGAATCTACTTAAAGAAATATAAAATTTTCATTCATACATATTTAAATAAAATCAAGAGTGTCTACAAAGCAATTATCTTGAAGCATCTGAAAGATATTTTTAAAAGTTCGTGTCGTATTAGGTCACCATGCACTTGATTAATGCACACTTCTCATCACACCAAAGCGAGTTTGTTTAAAAACCGATTATTTATCAATGCTTTCATGCACACAACTTTTTAAAATGCACATTATTTAATAGTCAATAGATTTTTTATATTTATTTTAAATACAGACTGGCTGTAGTGCCGGCTGTGAATGCGAATGGTAATGAAAAAGGGAAAAATGAGCAAGTTGGGATGACTTTAGATGTTGAAAACTAATTTTTTATATTGCGATCAAATTCATTAGGGGTCGTTCAGTTATGACGTCCATCAAAAAACCTGATTTTTAGACACCCCTCTGTCACAAAAATTCTATAGAAAAAAATTTCATTATTTGAACTGTCACAAAATCCTAGACCCCCTCCCCCCTAAATGTCGGACGTCATAAGTGAACCTTAGCTTAGCTTCATAAAAAATGCCCAAATTAGCCATGTAAAGCTTCCTTCAACCCTCCCATCCCCAAACTGACCACACCAGCTCATTTATGCTTGAATTATGCTTCAAAAATTACTCACGAGAACAATACTTAAATGCATGAAAGATCTTTGTGGCGTATTTGTGGAGTCAGGCGCCACATTTCGTATACCTTTTTTTAAAAATGTTGATTTTTCAATTTCTTTGCATTTTTTTCGTACTTCTCGCTCTCATGAGTACACATATGATTATTTGCAAGTTGTGATTTACAATTATTTTCGCTCTGTGCATTCAATTATTTTCTCAGGTGGTTCCTCGAGTCTGCTTCTTTTTTTCAAAGCAAATGAATGATTGGAAATATTTCTTTTAATTTCAATAAATTCAATTACAAATTTAAAAAAAAAAAACATTTCCTCCTAATCCGAATCTCACGAATTGATTCATTCCTTTAATGAGAGTCGCCAGGAAATCAGACATATATGCCTACCTCACAATCTCTTCAATGATTGACATATTAATTCTCATCGGAATCACGAATAGCAAATTTTTTTTCTCTGCCATTTAGTTTCGCACTGTATGAATGAACTTCAGTTAGAAAATGAATCGGGGAAGAAAGAGAATTTATGGTTGTGGCAAAAATATGCGAGGAGTAAAAGAAGAAAGTTTGGAGATATCAGGAATGCATTAGGCGCATTTTAAATTACTAACTGAATTAAGCTGCAGAATTAAGTTATTAGAAGATCTGTTGACGCTTTATCCTTCAAATCCGATATTGTAGATGGAAAGAGATCACGTGAAAGGCCAAAGAACTCATGGAAAGAGGCTGTTTATAGAGACAGTGTTGCATTTGGAATCGGCAATTGGCAGACGGTAGCCAGAGATAGAACTAGTTTTAGGGTACGGCTAAAGGAGGTCTTCAATCACAATTCATCTATCCTAGAACCAATCCATTGCCAGTTGGCTGTCGCTTAGATCTAATCATATTATCAAACAGAATAGGGCTCCCCCTATTAAAGTGAGGATTGAAAGCTAGCTATAAGTTGCATCTACGAATGGTCATAGTTAAAAGTTGGTCTGAACTTTAGAATCCAAAAACATAGACTCTCAGATTAACATCAATACCCCCGCCCCCGTAAATCCAATTAAATGACGCATAATCAATTCCCAACTTTCATTCAAAAAGAAAACCACAAAAAGTCCATAAAATAATTCATATATTCTCATTCAGCCAGACCCCATGCCCCGATCATTAAACAGACTATCAAAACACAACCAGCAGCACTGCTCGCATCATAAAATGCAACAAGAAAGAAAAGCTACAAAATGAAAAAAAGATTTTATAATTTAATATGCAAATCATTTGAATCAAATTTGCCATTAATAAATTACAAAATGTGTTTATTTTGTACTAATGCACATACATGTAAGGGGCTGTTCATTTATTACGTAA